AAATTAATTTATCCACAGTTTGATACTAATATCAACAGAATTGGGATTAACACTTTGGAGACGACGGGCTTCTACAGAAGCCGAGCGAGTTGTTAAGTCTGTGACGACACTTTTTTTTTTTTTTTTTTTTTGGTCACCTTTTTTAGTTCAGCCATGTGAATATTTTTTTTTTTTTTTATAATTAAAAAAAAAAAAAAAAAAAATCCAAAGGGAGGGATTTTTAGGGGGGTTATGGGGGGGGGGGGGGGGTTTACACACATAAAAATACCAAAGGGGGGGGGTTAAGATGTCTTTTAAACCATCTTCCAAATTATATTGTGAATAATTCAGAGTCCGACGTCGACGATTCTAATATATATATATCATTATGATAATAGAATATAAAAAGGCAAACATTAACCACAAACAGTTTAACAATCAAAGAGATTTATCATAGTTATTGTCTATATGGTGGAAAAATAACCATGTATATATCCTGATGTTCCGATAGATCCACAACAATTATTGTCCCTATACATGAAACCTAAATATGGGTGCACTCAGTGCAGTATGTTGTATAAAATATGAATACCTATTGAAGGCAGTATGAGATCAGTATTAATAAACATGCAATATATTACGACATGTGAGTATAAATAGAAAATAGACTTTTTCATTTAATTTGAGAAAGAGATGGCTATTGTAAGAAATTAAATATACGTGTCCTATAATAAATACAGATATATTTTTGATCATTTCCTACAATCAAATAGAACAGAAATAAGATACAAGTGATACATTTTTTACATTTTATATATCATTCAGCAGACGGATTGAGTACGGAACAAAAGAGTTCAGGTACCTCGAAGTGCGGGATTTCTTTGACTGCCACCTTTTACCACTTATTAACTTGAGATAATTACCATTCAGGGGGTGACTGGAATCCCTTAACAGCTTGACAGCCGTTTCCACTGCTTTGTTTCTGCAAACCTCATCAAAATCCATTGGTCTATCTATTATTTTGGCTGCTTGTTTGACAATGGTTTTGAGTTTTCCTTGATCTTTCTTTCTAGCACTATTGTACCACACTACAGAGTCATATGTCATTATACTTTCAACTACGGATCGATAAAAGAGTGACAATATGGTCCTATCAACATGGTATGAACGCAGCTTGCGCAGAAAGTGCATTCGCTGGCTCCCTTTTGTTGCGAGGGCTTTTGTATGCCCACTCCAGACCAGTTCATTGTCAATGTTTGTACCCAAATATTTGTATGAAGTAACAATTTCAATATCTTGCCCTTTAATGCTTACAGGGTGGTCACTTGGTTTGCTTTCTACTTTGGTCTTGAAATCAAATAGGATCTCTTTAGTTTTCTGCACATTCAGTTCTAGATAGTTTTCCACACACCATGAGTTGAAGTTTTGTACACAATCTCTGTAATCATTTTCATCATTCTGTAAAAAATAACGGTTTTTAATTTAAAATATCACCAATAAATCATGTTTTTATCCTAAATTGGCGATGTAACCGAAATCGCTCCGTCACAGGGGAAACAATCGCTGTGCGCGGGCTCGCTCTCAAAGGGTTAATTAACATCGAAAATTTAGGATAAAAACATGATTTATTGGTGATATTTTAAATTAAAAACCATTATTTTTTACAGAATGATGAAAATGATTACAGAGATTGTGTACAAAACTTCAACTCATGGTGTGTGGAAAACTATCTACATCAAAATTGGAGAAGTGCCTTTTTTGTAACTTTCCAGGAATTCGCCCATGCTCAAGGACAATAATCATTAAAGGAGAGGCTTGTGTCTCTTTTCAGTGAAAGTTAAAGCAACCCAAAGTTATCGATTTGATTTCCACAAAAACGACATTTTTGCCCCACATGTGTAATAACTGCATTCATATACGTGTATTTCTTTTTAGTGTATTGAGGACGTAATTGATGTGTTCACATCGAGTTTTTAAGATAACTTTTAATTAAACCCCCTAATCACCATAATCATAATGGTCTCAAAAGATCGATAATTAAAGTACCTTCAAAATATATCAATTTCATTGAGTTATGTCATTAGAGGGAAGGCCTTGGAGTGGTTCAGAAGTTATCTTACAAACAAAAAACAATTTGTTATAATTCAAAACCATAAATCGTGTGAAAGAGAAGTCAGATATGCGGGGCCGCAGGGTTCGATCCTCGGTTCACTACTCTTTTTATCATCTATGTCAACGACTTCTTATCTATGATATTTTTATCTATATTAAACTATGATATTCTTGCCTGGGGTAATTGCAATAGATCTAACCTAAATAAAATACACCTCTTGCAAAAAAGAGCAATGAGATTGATTTTAAATAAAAGATATCGTGCTTACACCAACCTGTTATTCCTCCAAAGCAAATCCCTGAAAATTCATGAATTATACTCCTACAATCTTGGTAATTTTATGTATCAACTTGAGATAAACGATCTACCAACAAAATTAACGTAAATGTCTATTCAAAAACAGAAAATTCATAGCTACCAGCTCATAGTCAGCTTCATAGTCGAAGCATTTTCGTCCCCCTCGCACAAAAACATTTACTTTACCAAAAACATTCATTTATACTGGACCCATACTTTGGAATTCACTCACCCGGCTCTCAAATCAACCCCCACACTTATAAGTTTAAACGTAAACTCAAGCATTTCCTCTTGAATACCTACGACAAACATCATACTTAAACAAGTCGCACCTAACATCTGATTTTAATTCTTTCTCCTTACTCACCGCACTCTCTGGAAATACTGTTTACCAGCGATCAAAGATGGCTTTATCCCTATGCTAATCCTTCCCTGATATATCTGCCCCTCCCTTTAGCTCTCTCCCTTTTCTTTTCGTTCCCGCTTGTCTTGCTATCCCTTGTTTTATTTGTTGGTGCTTTTTGTCTTCTTCTTCCATTTTTTTTCTTACTTTCCATTCTCGTTAATCATCTTTTCTTACCGTACGTACCTGTTCTCTTTTCTTTATTGGTTTCCTTGCAAGTATTCTTCGTTTCCACACCAGTAGTGCTAAAATAAGCACTGATCCATTTATATAATTGATATATATTTGGTTATGCTGAGGAAAGCACAGAACTCTTCCCTTTTTTCCCTCAATTGTTTACGCTATGTTGAGTAAAATATGTCACTAAACGATAACCCTCGTATAATCATATGCTTTTGTAAATATCTTATGTTTATTCAGATACCCTAATTTATATACGAACCTCTAACTGGGACCTACATACCTCTCCAACAAAGCATAGAGAGTCAATGCTAATGCGTATATTGACCTCCAGCGCTGCATTACGTGCTAATAGGCAGCAATTGCACACATGAATAGTCAATACACACAAATGCACACAATGTAGACGGCTGTAAGCAAGTTTGACAGTAGACTCACTATTTGAATTTTCAAATTATTCTTTCTAACATCAGTAAATTGAAACAAATTGTATTTTACTGCTATTTAGGTGTCATCAATTGTCACTAAAGTACCGATTTTGAGTGAAATTAGTTGAGTTTTGTCCAGTGGTGTTTGAAATGTGAACAGGTTTTAATACACAGCCAGGATAGTAATGCAGCTATGTGTGCATAATACAAGCTTTGCTTTCTATAGTAGATCCCCACTATATTCATCTTTTTTTGCAATGTATCTATCATACTTATGATTGTATATTTTGTTATAACTAATACCATGTACATGACTATTGCCATGTTCATTATGTTCAATTATGTTATCTTCGATAAAGTGGAAACAATAAACTTGAAACTTAAAATATAAATTTTGGCCGAAAAAGTGCTTTTTGGAAACTATAATTTTGGCAAGTATCTCGGTATATTAACTGGACAAAAGTGATTGGACATTTTGTAGAGCAGAAATGTCAAAGGATTTGTGTGCTGAATGCAATTGATAAGTACTTTTTCTGTACTGTGTGATGTTTTAGGAAATGTGGGCATTGGCAGTCCCCCACATTCCCAGCAAATGCTCTCTCCCTGCACCACATCCGTAAAGATAGAAATGGTTCCCAAGACACCTTTTGTTGTACAAAATTGGAGAGAGTGTGAGTTTTAAAAATTACTCAAGTGGACCTTTTATTATTTACACAATTTCTTCCTGTCTTCTGCTTTGAAATCACTGGAACAAAGAAATGTAACAATGTAAATCTAGAAACCCTATTCAGTAAAGGATGAAGTCTTTTTATGCAGATAGTTCTTCTCCCGAAGTTAATGGAATGCCTAATTTCAGGGCTTCTCAGGAGTAATGCATAGTCATGTCGCCACTAAACAAGTTGCCGATATAATTATGTTACCGAGTGTGCGAAAAACAACTTCACTTGAAGAGAGATACCAGCGTTCTTGTTGTTATGTTTACTGGGTTCCAGTATATTCTATCCAAAGGTAAGAATTTGTGGGTGTCATGTTTGATGTTATTGAATGTGAGAGTGTGAATTTGTCGATGGAGACTTATCACACATCCGCGGTATAGGTATTTATGCGATATCAGTTCCTGGCCATGTATTTATTTATAAAGCCTGTTGTCTTTTGATTAAACGTTTTAAGTCAATTTTTGTTGCTATTGTGAATGTTTTCCTGGCATCTAATAACACAATGGAGACCATAAAAATCAGTGCACGATAACGTCTTTTAAAATCAAGTAACTGTAACAGGCACATCACATTTTCACTTGGCAGCCAAAGGGGGGGGGGGGGCCTAACCACCCCCCCCCCCCCCCCCGTAGATCCGGCCCTGTTGCACATAGTGAATACCCTCATGCGCTGCATCGACCATAACATACTCACACCTGTGTATTATTTGTAAAGTAATCTAATCAAATAAAGCCTTCAAGTGGTGAGTTTTCCCTTCTGTTAATACTTTGCTGCGCTTTTCGATTGATATTGGAAGAAGATAAACAATATGTTCATGTACTGTTTTCAAGACTTGGTGAAAATTATAATATAAATATATTTTTGTCTTCTTTTTCAGAAAGATGTACTGAGAACATATTTATGAAGTATATGTATATATGAATGTTTTATGTATCATCATCTTAATATGTCTAGATTTCACTAGAATTAAGTTGATTTTATTACACATTTTTACAATATTCAACGTTTAGGCAAAACGTTTTCGGAGAATGTTTAATGTGATATTCATGCTCCTTTGTAGTAAATAAAAGTTATCTGAGACGTTGTTATACATATAGATTTTGTTATATTTTTGTCGGTAGTCTAATCATGATGATAGATGTTTAATTTTTTTGGATTAAATCAGTATAGTAGCTTTGTCATTTCAATATGCGATATATGGAATGTTAGTTCTGTCCTTATCATGTTTTATTCGAATCGAAGCTGTGAAGTACATTTTATGTTCATTGAAGTTTTTCACTCAGATCATTTACAGTTCACTGTTTCTTTGTAGAATAGTAAAACCCAAAATGTATTTTCTCTTTTATTTGCATTACAGTACAATAATTAGGTCAATATCTGCCGGAGAGTCCTCGAACGCTTCTTGGTAATCATCATCCACTGCTTCTGCACCTAGATTGAGGAACAGTCTCCCTATGTTTTTCCGCTCTTGTGATGCGCTATCCACTTTCAATACCCGACTAAAGACATGCCTATGATAAATGCTCTTGTTAAGGTTGTTCCCGCAGGTGTTTCAATCTACTAGTTTTACTCCTACTTCAACAACTTCGAAAATCGGACCCCGATTGTTGCAGTTCTACTTTTGAGGTGATTATTCGGTTTTTTAATGAATAATATAGTAAATCCGCTTATCATACAGTTTGTTTGAGTCTCTCTCAGATAACCTTATCTATGAAGAAATCGGTAAAAATTTGATGGATATTTTCGAACTTGTTTTTATAAACAAATACCTTAATAAACTCGCAATATATACATGTAAGACATAATTATCTTACATGTGACATTTATTCTCATATCAAGAGTTCTAGACAATCAGTATGTATTTGTATTCTTATCCAATGTGTCTTTAGTGTATAGTATATTGGTATGCCTTTCATATATTTTACTTGTATGTATTACGAACCATGAAATGATGGGTAAGAGCAGAGGACTGAATCGTAAAGGGTTGGTGTTTTTTTTAATTAAAAAAACCTGTGACCGTCTCTACAGGTACATTATTGTTTTTGTTATGATTCATCATTATCATGTATATATCATGTATATATCATACATATTATCATTATCATTATCATTAGTATTAGTATTAGTATAAGTATTATTATCTTCATTATTATCATCATCATCATCAATTATATGATGATTATTGCGATGATTGAGATTATAATTATCATTATTGTTATTATGATTAATTATCATGAATATTATTATTATTATCATTATTATTATTATTACTATTATTATTATTATTATGTTATAGATGGCATCAAGTACTGGATACACCCTTGTATTATTTGTTTTGCTTTTTGCAAACATTATAATCATTAATTTGTGGTGGGACCAAGACGCTTTATATATGAAACGTTTTGCTACAGTACAACCTCTGCCGATTCCGAAGGTAAGAATGTTTGGTTAGGGTCTATTTTGTATGAAATGTACTTATTATATTCCTTCTACTGTACTTATCCTCTAACAGGCAAAAAATCCTGAGAAAATTCTCAAACCACAAAGATATTTATGGTTTTCTTTGAAGGTGTCACTGTGTAACACCCTCTATTTGTGATTAACAGTAAATTCTCCCCACCATTTTTGAATTTTCCCAACCGAGTTTCCTTGAAAACAAGACATATAAAGGCAGGCTTTAAAAATCTGTGAACACTTAAAAGTCTGGAATTATATATAGAGTCGATTCATTGCTTCGTGACGATGTACATTCACCTAAAATGTAATTAAATTGTAATAATATAGTTGGGAGAATTAAGGAATCAATCAGATCAGTTTTTCCCCAATTTTTTCATTAATAATGCTCCGTTTTCACTCAATACATTGTCAAAAAAAGAAAGAAAAAGAAAAAAAATCATAAAAAAGAGTAATCGTAACAAGATAAGGAGGAGGGACCTTGTGCTACAATTCTGCAATCTTAGATTTGAATGTATTAACACTAGGGGACGATTTAATACTAGGAGGAGTGTGTGGTTGGCCTTTGCGTTTCTATACTTGAATGATCTTTTGAGGTAATTATTTTGTTCTCAGTTTGGGTAATTTTTATTTGAGCTCCCATTCGGGAAGGGAAGGAATGGGTTATCAACTCAAATTTATTTCTTAAATATTCAGGGGTTAGATTATTCATAATTTTATACATAAGAACAAAGGAATGATGATTTCTTCTTTTTCCAAGAGTTGCCAATTAAGAGCATTATGCACTTCCAAAATAGAGACATGAGATTCAGGTTTTATTTGAATTATAATACGGCCTGCCGTATTTTATTATTTTGGAGGCGATCTGTATATTTCCTGAAAGCTGCACTGTAAATAACATCACAACGATCAAAATACCAAAGGATCAGTGAGCTATACATTAATTTCAGTACCGATTCACTAAGGAATTGCCTTAGTCTTCCTAGAAAGCTTACCTATGTAAACCAAGTTCAAATTGTCAATCATGACTTCATCATCATAAATATATAGGCCTACATCTATTTTGGTTTCATTTACAGCAAAAACCTGTATATCATTTGATTTTACAAATGTCCTCACTTCTTCTTTATGTTTTAGAAGACTATTAACATTTAATTGAGCAATCTTAAGACCATTACCATGCAATTCACGCTAGTATAAACCACTAGAGGTATCCATTCTTTGTTTGTTTGCTTTAGCATGCGGACATACAGAAAGGTAATTCCTTAAGAAAACAAATGTTGCATTGTCATGCAGCCAAAGAGATCCTCTGACGGATCATCATAGATTTGGGAGGAAATACCAGCACAAATGATGTGAAGCTATTGGTTACATTTCGTACACTTCAATCCCTTTTGATTATTTTGTACAGGTTACATACAACAGACACATGGGTATTTGTAGACGTTAAAGACCATACGTAAACAATTCACATAACAATTTAAAAAAAAAAGAATTTAAAAAAAATACAGTCAGTTCGAGTCGTTCAAATTACTTTAAAAAAAAAAATCGGTTAGGAATAAGGAGATCAACCGATCGTAGACCATGCTATTGTATCTGCAAAGAAATAATTCACTTATATAGCAGTGCATGATAAGTGGTGTGAAAAAAGAGAATTTGTCCGGTATTTTCAAACGTTGGTTGTCATTCGAAGCACTGACCCGTTTGTCGAGAGCTGTCTGTCTGTCTGCCCGATAAACGCGCCCACATGTCGCGAAGATGTAATGGTTACTCGACGAATGGGTCACTGTATCCTTCCTCGGGCTTAGTGATGCGTGAACCACAGACTAGCTATATATACACACAGGACCTGTCAGGGGCATTTACACTGTCATCCAAACACGCCAAAAAAAAAAAAAAAAAAGCCAAACCGGAGCCTGACCGCGATGTATACAAAGGGCAACTACGCTTTACCGGCAGAAATGCCAAGCCCGAAACATTCCACATCAAAGTGTGATCTTTTGGCGTGTTTTGGCGTGTTTGGCAAGTATAAATGCTCGCAGTTGTAACATCGCGATGTTAGGTCACGTGACTTTAGGAGCGGAGCTAGATGTCGTCCTTGAAGAAAATGATAGAACGATAAATACAAAGAATAACATCAGAGAAGGTGATTGAAGGAAGAAACAAGAATAACATAAGAAAAAACAGAAAGAGAAAGTGATAGCATGATAAAAAAAAACGAAGAATAACATAAGAGAAGGTGATAGAAGGAAGAAACAAAGAATAACATAAGGAATAACATAAGGAAAAACAGCCTGATAGAAAGTAATAAAAGGAAGAAACAAAGAATAACATATGGAAAGACAGAAAGAAAAAATGATAAAGAATAGATAATGGAAAGATAGAAGATGAAAGATGGAAAAACAAGGAATAACATAAGAGATATAACGAAAGAAACAAAAAGTTCACTGGACTGCAGCAGCATGCACAGCATAAAACAGCTGATCGAAGGAGGTTTTTGCATCGGAGTGCCGCGCATGCGCATTACCAACTGAAACGTGCCAAAACATCACTGATCTTTTCAGTCGATGATACTTCAGCACAAGTGTAAACGGGTGCGCGAAACATCAAGATTTTAGGAAATGAGGTATTTGACAGTATAAATGCGCCTAATAAGGAGCTTACGAACGTTGTAATAGCTCCAATTTAGTTGGCATATCATTACAAAGGCATGAACTTAAAAAGCCACTTAAAAAGCTCTCCTCCAACAAAAGAGGAGGGGCAAACTGAAAAATAGAGAGGATCCATCCACACCAGATTAGTGTAAAGACGACGTTTAGTTCATTCTCACAGGATGATGGCTAATGACGAAGAATTCAGGATTTGCTCACTTTGTGAAGGTCACCTTCCGTTAAAATAGTTATTCGCTTTTTTCGTACGTTTTGATATGGCGAGGATCCGGCCTAATGCCTCCACCTTTTCCATGCATGTACTTCGTTTTCACTTTCCAGAAATGCTCCGTTCGTCTTCTTGTCAGACTTTCATGGATATAACTTGCCTCATCCTGACGATGACGCAGTTTTCTCCTATTTTTGTAGAATTTGTCTCTTACATGGTATTGAACTTTACAATCACACCTCTATTTCTCTTCTCTTTACTCTGACCCAATCTATGGCTTCTGTCAACTTCCCTGGCGTCTAAATCAAGGTCTAAATTCTCGGCAGCGTTTTCGTTCACTAATTCCTCTTATATTCCGTTCAATATCGAGGTATTTCTTTTAGAGTATTGTTCTGACTCGTCCTGTTGATCTAATCACGCTTGCATATTTGTTTCTTAAACAGTTATAACGAGTATCTCTCGCCTGCAATTCGAAGTCAATATATTCGCGTAAGATTTCTGCCACTTTCTTCGTAATTATTGGTTTAATTTCTTCTATCAAAGCTTTCTTAAGTACACTCACCAGCTTATTTTTCAAAGTTGTGCTCTGTTCAGTACATCCCTTAAATGCTATTCGTAAGGTCTCCAGCTTGGTGTTCAAGTTGCGAGTTGTAGTCATTTTAGCGGAAGATGGTATACAGTTCTCCAAAAATCCAAAGATTAGATGAAAATCAAGTCCAAGAACATCAACATAAGGAGGTGAATCTTTAGCACTGGTAATTAAGAGTACTTAATTACACTGACATGCACGCTATATCGAGGGAGAATATATACGGTCTGTCGGTTTGATGGCGCTTTTAAAAACACGTCAGTTCATGTCAAATATGAATGAATTTCAATTGGGGATTATTCATTCCTTAAATCGTTAGCTGGATTAATAATCTTCCAATATGCTTGTGGCTGATTGATTTTAAGATTTTTATATCAAAGTTGATTTGAGCTGAAAGAATAGCTTTTTATACATTTTCTTGACTTTGGTACATTCCTTTTCAATACTATCAGATATGTCAATCTTCCTATTGTGTTTAAGATGAAAATACTGAGCCTTTAACCGAGCACAATTTGCATCAAACCATGGTTTCCCATTACGACCAAATTTACAAGGTTTATGATTTCCATAGGCTTTTACCATTCCACTATTTTGGCCGCCGTAAGGTAAATATTTTGTTATAAACAAGTTACATTATTGATTGATTCCTGATCAACCTGAATGTCGTGACCCTCCAAACGATCAACAGCATTATGTATATTTTCAACTAGACTTTGATCGATGTTATCAATAAAATCTTTAGCAGAATTTACACTCCATTTAATTTTCATTGTTGATCCCGAATCTGTTTTCACGTTTTCTTTTTATTTTTTACTTTTTTCTATTATAACGATTTGAAATCGCTGGCCCTGCTTACAAACCGATCAGCATAAACCATGAATATAAAAAGTATATATATATTTTGCTATCGTAAATGTTAACTTATTTTCTGTCAACTTGAAGTAATTTTCCAATGTTTCACTGTGTTTTGCTGATCTTTTCTTTTTGTGGGATATGTGTTCACGCTTGGATGAACAGGAGGCACTGTTTGCGTGAGTGCAAAATTCGACTTGCGCCAAAGTTGCTTATGTGATGTTTGAATAAAACAATTGGGATTTGGGTATTAATTCGGTATTTGCAGATCCAAATAACATCCCTAACTAAATTGATCATGCCACACATATCAATATCGAATATCAAATATCAACGAACATTTTGTGCGCGCGTCGGTGTGTGTGTGTCACTGCTTCTGCAAAAAGCATATGCCATGCATTTCATTTGATACATTCAATTCATTCTCTCACTCCGCTAATCCTAACATAATACATACTGTAGGCATCGCTTTGGCGCAAGTCGATTTTTGCACTCTCAAGTTCAGTTTCAAGTTCAAGTTCAGTTTTATTTCACATCCAACTTATTCCCCATTTCTCGTATCCCCCTCGCAAACAATGCCTCTTGTTCATCCAAGCGTGAACACATATCACACCAAAATGATACCAAATGATTTGGGATAACACACTCTTTCATAAGATGAATGATAATTTACTGTTAATAGATGATTTTTAAAATAATTAACAATTTTCTAGGTGTAAACTTTTTTGTTTTGACTCACACGGTATAGTGGACAAAGTACTGGGTATAGACCAAATGAAGTTATACGATGTAGATATTGGGCCAAAATGCATTGGACCAAATGGTAATACAAGAAATAGAGAGGGTACAATAAAGTTTTAAGTCTCTCGTCATGATTCTTCTCCCATTTCCCCTTGTTATTCCCCCATAATGAATTTACACATGATTTTTGTATTTCTATAGGGGGTGACATCTGGCAACCTGTACAATGCATCGCCTGCTGAACCTGAAACTTCGCATAGCCATCCTTTATGTCCGAATCGGAAACTGAGAAATATTCCCCATTTCTCGTATCCCCCCGCTACACCAAGGCATTGGGTTACACATATGGACACGACAAGCGGTACCTTGAGCCGATTCACCATCGTCAATGACAAGGAATCTTATTCCGTATGCGACCAACTCGAACTCTTAATCGAAGCACGGAACGGCTACGATGAGCCCAAGACTTACGGTGGCGATTTCTTTAGCGCCAAGATCTTCACTCAAAACGGGTCTTTTATTGCAGGCTCGGGGACAGATGGAGAGGTTCTTGACCTTGGTAATGGGAATTATAGCGCCTTCTTCACTCTAAAGTGGGCCGGGACTGTCCGTATCAATGTCACTTTGATTGTCCCGAGTGAAGCTGTTTTTGAACAACAAAACCTGAAGGAAACATTGCAGCCTCTTGTCAATTATCTGGGGAAATTCAGCAAGAAGATAGATGGAAAAGATGTAACAGAAGAAGTGAGATGTGGTAGCGTGCCCGTTTACAGATTGGTAATTCATTGAGCATTATTTTGTTATCCCCGTTGCACACGAAGCATCATTTGTTGACGTTGGATTGCGACATCAAGTAAAGCAGTCATTGCGTTGAATAATTTGTCGGTGTAAACTAAGCTTTAGGTCATGACGCAATCGAAATAACGCCTCGTGTGCGGCGGGCAAATGAATATTCATTTATTCAGGAATGATGAATAGACCTGTTTACTAACATTCAAATTGTATGCATACTTTTTAAACAAATGTTGTTCTTGCCCGATGCTTTCCCGACATAACAGCAAGTAATGTATGCAGACGGTATACCAAGCATTGCCGTTCATTCATTAATAACCGGTTAATGGAATACCTCTTCATTAGGGCCCCAAACCAAAACATATATCTTAACCCCCTCAAAAATAAATGAATTAAATACATAATTCAGAAAGAAAATCTAATAATTGTTAAGGTGTATCTTTTGTCACCCGAAGAATCAACAAGAATGCAACATCATATCATTGTGAAGGGGAAGCGTTACTGATAACAAAAAAATTGTGGGCATATTGCCTCTGAGTTATGGAATAGTATCCCTCATAATGTAAGGCAAGATTAGACAGTTCAAGAATTCAAAACTGCTCTTGAAACATATTTATGTCATTGATATTTGTATTCATTAGTCAAAATTAATTTCCTGCAGCTTTTCTATCTTTCTTACTTTTCCTAAGCGCAATGAGACGTTTTCCCCCAAAACACGAGCGCAATCAATTAAAAAAAAAATCATCTTGGGCGAACATTACAATGATGTAATACGTATTATATACCTCACTTAAGTAATCCAGCCATCTGATTGGTCGAAATTGCATTCATAAACTTCAACTGTTCCTGTAAAATTCCCGGTAACCATGCATAAAACATTTAATATTTTTAATAACCATGGTTATTAAAAAAATAGGTCAGCCTCCATGGTTACCCCATAGGTTTACATGTTAAAAAATGGTTTGAGCGATCGAGGATACCGTATGTGTGCGAAGGATTGGTCGGTAATTTCAATACAATTGAATCTCGATCGATCTTACCGACAATTTTATCCTGCATTGTTGACATGAAGACGAAAATAAACTTCCAAAAATAAAAAAACAACATCTGCCGATAGATCTTGATCTAAGTTCGTGCCAATATGCATTGCAAAAGTAAAAGAAGGGTGCTTTTGCGAAGCATTCATCACGCCGAAGCCGGTTTCAATCCCTTTTAATGTATATATTGTACAAAACTGCCAAGCATGTGAACAGCGCGCGATGGCCGAGTGGTGTAAGACGTTGATGTAAGATTCATCACTCATTGTACGCAAGAGTTCGACTCTCACCTTCGACAAAAAAAAAAAGTATTTTTTATTTTTTATTTTTTAGTCTATTTTTTTTCGGCATATAAAAGTATTAATGACTGCTTTAATATTCGAGAAATAGTTGTTTTTATACGCTCTCGGGAAGGTTACAATTGGGCTATTCCCCTCGGCACGCCTCGGGTAATAGCACAATTCTAACCTTCCCTTGAGCGTATAAAAACAACTATTTCTCTCAAAGCAGTCATTAATACTATAATGATTTCTATATAATAATAATCATAATAATAATAGCCTAATAGTCCACTCCAATAGTCCACTCCAAATTTTATTAAACCGAAAAGGAAATTCTTTTTGCCCAAATGATCGTGAGCCCGGCTGATCGTGTTGCTCTATTCCTTATTGTTGAACGCCAAACAAGGTAACAACAACTCCCATCTTAACGTCTTTTGGTATGACGCGGCCGGGGTTCGAACCCACGACCTCCCATTTGTGAGGCGGACGCTCTACTGATATTGAAATTACCCTTGAGTTGATTTCTCGAAAGTAGATGCGATCGTGTATAATGCTGTATTCATGAATTCTGTTCCGTTACTATATTATGGTGTTTGTGTGTTCTCACCTAATACAGACGTCCATATGCAACCTAACTAATCCTTATGTGGGATTAACATGGTACTGTCAGAAACCTAATTCAAGCCTTCTCTCTTGCGCCGATTGGACGGAGGTTACGTCACTTCCTTATGATACCAACAAAATGATCGAAGACCAAGCTTACATCAGGAGGTCGTCTGTAGTTCATCGGTAAGTGCTATGTTAGGAGCCTCGGGGATACAAGGGGCACGTTGAATTGCAAGAAATAAAATAAAATATTTAAGATATTTATAGGGTAATTTAAGCAAAAGGACGAAGGAGAGGGGAGAGGACGAGAAGAGCTGATACTAATACCCCTTTTTATACTGTTGACTTGTATAACAATTCATTTACCAATCAAAATCTGTGTCTACCCCCCCCCCTCCCCCCGCCCATGATGTCACTGCCAATCGAATACCAGGAGCCACGCTGCACCGTCGTGTAAGCCCGTGTGGACATTTGAGGTTAAAGTTGATTACTAAAATAATAAATATTTGATCAAATTTCAAAAATTGTAACGAATTCAAACAATTAAATGGTGAAGGCCTTTTTTTCAGGAGGTTTTTTGTATTCTTATGTATCCCGAAAATGGTAACATTTCCCTGACAACGACATTTGTAAAACACGATAAGACATTCGATTTTGTTTGTTTTGTCTTCGGTTTTCTGTGGTGTGGCTTGATAACTGATAATTTGAGAACAATAGTTTTCTTGAAAATCTGCAGTAAATTGGTGCAAGGGAACACCCTACTGACAAGAAAGGTTTCTGTCAAGTCTACTTCCGTTTGGGCAAGAAAAGATCCCACATTTTTGCCTTTTTTTTTCTTGCCCTTGTCAATTTGAAAGGAAGTGTATACTTGTCGAGACCCAAGATTTTGTCTTGTCGACAGCAGATACAGTGGGAGACACTTTGTCGAAATGCAGGGTGGTGTCTCCTTTTCTTTCTTCTTATCCTGGGAAAGCTGACAAGATCCGTTTCCCCACCCTTCCCTTTTAAATTAACTCTCCATTTATTTGTCCTTTTCCTCCATGTTTCATCTAGCCCTGCAGCTCCAATCGTGGGCCTTCCCAATCACGTGACAGTAAACAGCAAGTCTGATGACTTTATAAATGAACAAGTGGATCGTCTACCGGTGTGTGGCCAACAACATGCCCGCTTTCAAGTTATACCTTGGGTGGCGGGCTTCTACCGGAATAAACGTTGGTTTCCTCCCACTTGCAAAGTGAAACTCTTCACCGGTAAGGAGTGCAAGAAGTGTCTGGCCAACAAGAACATCTACATTTACGGTGATTCGACCATCAGACAAGCGTATTCTCAATTGGTTAAATTAAGTGGGGCCAAATACCCCGCAGGACAATCTATAGGTCCTGTTGATACATACGTAGCTGAACACAACATTCATTTGCATTACAGCTTTCATAACATTCCTATACTTCACAAAAACTTCTGGCATAAATTAAGTATCCTTCGATTCGTTACAAATGAACTGGATGCCATCGGGTCTAATGAGACCGTTGTCGTTGTCATAAGTCTCTGGGCACATTTTCAAGCTGTTAACAGGCAGTTATACGAGCAGCGGATCAAGTCCATTGCTGATGCCGCCCGGAGGCTACTCAACAGAAACCCTACGGCAGTTGTCATGTTTAAGGGTGGAAATACCCAAAATCCTTACGGGTCGAGGGTCCAGTATGCAAATGATCACTACGCACGAGACAATGAAGAAGCCCTGAGACGCATCCTCAAGTCGTATCCAAAGTTACAGTTTATTGATGCTTGGGATATGAGTAGAGGACAACTTGCCCCTGCTGATACTCATCCTCCGGAACCTCATTTGTCAAACTTAATCGATCAAATTCTGACAATAGCTTGCCCTAGATCTATTTGAGCGCAGCAGAGTAACGTTGAGTACTGGGGGTGTTTCACAAAGATCCTAAGTCGAACTTAACTCTAAGTTGGACTTAAATATTATGGAGAGCCATTTGTAGCCTCATAATGAAAAATATTCAAAAACAAAAATTTAAGTTTCTTAGACTTTTTATAAGTTCCACATCAAGAACATGAAATTTCCCATGATAACAGAAAATATGAATGATTTGAATTAACATTTTATGCCTTTTAAAATAACTTTTACAAAATATTTTCAAGGATGCTAACGGCTTTCCATAATTTTTAAGTCCAACTCAGAGATAAGTTCAACTTAGGATCTTTGTGAAACACCCCCCTGGTCCTGTAATTTAAGAAAGTACAGTGGGACCTCGTTTTAAGAAAGAACACTGTTCTAAAAATAACTCTCATTGTACAGGTTATACAATCTTCACGTCTTTTGAGTTACACGTACATTTGTGAATTATCAAGTCCTAATTTCCAAAGGGTCGGGTGTAACGTTTGGTCCAATTTCTGAAGAAAAAAACCTATATATATATATATATACAGTAAATCTACGTAAAGCCGCGTCCCGACACGACAATTTTTCACTACGACATAAAATCACAAGAGTCCGTAAAAAGCTGGCGATAAATACTTCGCCATTGTGTGGGCATATTTTCACAAATGTTTATGTAAAAAGAGAAGCCTTAATTGTCTCAAGAACCATCTTTGACAAATTTCGTGAAAATGTGGGGGGGGGGGGGCAAAGTTTCGTGTAACCCGACAACGTAAAGAACCCGAATTTTCGTGCATGTATATTTTTACGAAAGGGCGTGTAACGCGACAACCTGACCCGACGCGAACATCTGATGGAACGAAGTAAGCCTACTTCATGGATATATGTTCAGTGATGTGACCCTGGCCCCGGGTTTATAGGGTTAAATTTGTAGAACTTGGCACATTGGCATTAATTTATTTGTCGGTAATTGGTGGCTTGCTTTTTCGGTAACCTTAGGCCTCTACACCCCCACTGAAAAAGGTACAAGCCCCTTGTCTGCCCTCATCTTGAGTATACGATTCCAGCGTCTGGGATCCTTACAACATCTCGGATATCCAAGATCTTGAAAAGATCCAGTGCCGTGATCAGCACATTACAGTGGTCTGCTCTGTTTACAAAGCGGTTTGCAAGCAAGTGTTTTTTCTGCCTTTCCTTGAAAGACCTTTATTTCTTCAACAAATCACGAGCTCAAAAGAACCATGACACGACCCTCCAGATGCATCGAGCCAAAAGCGACATAGACAAGTTTGCATTTGCCTAACGCCGCTGTACAAGAATTAATGGAACTGCCTTCCAGCGATTGTAGTGCATGCTGACAGTCCAGAGAACTGCCAGGAACTCCTGAGGCATCTCATGCCCTTATCCCACTAAAAAAAAACATCTGTCTTCCTTTCACCACTTGTAATCCTTAGTTCATCTTCGTGATCGGCTACATAACCCTTTGAAGATTAACAGAAGAAGATATATCGAGGACCATGAAAGTATTATTTACTTGTTCTGATGTGACTTGTATATGATTTATATCCATATAACATTAATTAAAAGTGGTTCCTCTATGGCTACCATTTCTTTCTCTCTTCCTATATCTCTCTTTTTCTGTCTCCCTCTCTGTCTCTCCCTCTACCCTCTCTCTGTCTTCTTTTCATTCTGCTGTTTCCCCCCTTTTCTGTTTGTCACTTTCTCATTCTTATTTTTGTATGTATCATCCTCATCTTGTCATTCTGCTACTGTTTTGTCTCGTTAATTGTTCGTTTCTTTTGTCTGTCATGTTTTTTTGATTCCGTAATTTGTTTCACAATTTTTAGTTACAAATGTATAAAGTTTAATTATTATTGTGCAAACCTAGACCGAACAAGCATTGCTTTCAAGTAGGTTCGTTTTTTCATTTACTGTAACCAAATAATTTGCATTACAATGACTAAAAAACAATGTCAAATTTATTTCAATGCTCATTTTAAAGAAGTACTCCTAAAACTCAGTATATACCTGACAAGCACAGTGTGCTTTCCATAGATATATAGCATGTTGATAATCAAATTAATCATATGGATTTTTTTTTTTAAATATCTAAATTTCTAAATTTGTTGTAAAATTTTACAACTGAAAAATGTGTGTTCAAGAGGCCGCAGGCCCCCCCCCCCATTCACTTGATACCTTTCTTTTCATGATGTAATATAATAATAATAACACATAAGATTTATAAGGTGCCAAATCCACTTAACAATCAAATGCTCAAGGCGCAGCTTATGTCATGTTGCATTTAAAAAGATCATCATAGAAAGGAAAAAAAATATAAATGAGTTCATAAATGTTAATAAAATAATTTGATACTGCTTAATTCTCTTTTTTTTCCCTTATTTTGTGAAAGATATATGATAATGTAGGCACTCTGTAATCATAATGATGACGGAGGTGTGATAGTGCTGATGCAGTCTTAGAAATGTAGGATTGAGTAATTGGTGTTCACCCTTGTATTTTTTTAGATCTGGCATCAGCAGGATAGACTTAATCTTTCCTAATGTGGGAGTGTCGTAGTCGAGTGGTTTAAGGTGCTTGACTAGAGATGCGAAGATCGAGGGTTCGAATCCCGACACGGCACTAATATCCGGTGGCAAGATATTTACCTGCACTATCTACTCTCCACCGAGGTGTTAAATGGATACCCGGTAGGATGCGAAAGTTCATGGTTGGACGAGCAAGTGTGCGCTTGTTAAATGGCGACTGGCTGGGATGATCCCTAGGGAGTGGAAAATGTGCATACATTATCTGCGGTTAAGCCTGAATACGATGACCGGGGTAATAATATATATCTGTATTGCGCCTAGGCACATCGTTGGATCGATGTATTGAGCGCTTTCTAAAAACGGAATGTTATTATGATTATTATCATTAGAAGAGGGAAATGTATGAAGAGAGATGGCAGGGCAAAAGTATAAACGCAGTTTTAAAATGGTCTACAATAGATAGAGGGGTAGGGGCAGGGGTTGGGGAGCAAATCATTAAAATAAGTTGTCAAAATGGCAGGTTAATAAGGCCTACATCTACATGTATGTAGATTTCAGTATTGGAAAGGCGTCCTGGATTGAAAATTTCACTGTATGCGGGGGGAGAGGAGCATATTAACAAAAACAAATCAGTGGCGTTGAGTGCAAAATTGAAATTTCATTGCGAAGGGGGCACATTATGAAAGATCATTGAAGCATATTGCTCCGGTTGTCTCATTTTCGCTCGCTGGACCATTGCCAGCACAAACGTAGCTAGTTCGACGGCACAACCAAACTAGAATGTTCCACTATGTTGCAGGGTGTATGCCATTGGGTGAACCGGGTGTGCGGAAATGGTGTGTGGAGGAGGGGAAGTGAGAGTGTTCGTGTGTGTTTGGTAATTGTATGTGTGTCAACAATTAAAGACTAATAGTGACAGATGGCTAATTATAAATCTACAATGACGAGTAAACTGCCTACATCACAGTCCACAGATAAATGTGACTTGAACGTATAGCAGACGGCAATCGGCGGATCAGACGACACTTGATAGTGATTTTGTATGTGAGATTGCTTTGCTAAATATAAAATACAAGAACCTTTTCCATATCTTTAAACTATCATTGATATTTGATGATTAAACATCTAGTAAAATAAACCTACCAAACTACACAATATTACAGTGAAATACTGGACTTAAAGTAGGGGAGTTTTATGTGGTGCACAATTGCACCCCTCTGTAAATAATATTTATAATTTTGCTTACCTCGGCAAAATGCTTGCCTATACTAAATGGAAAAAATTACGGTGGTGGGTATGCTGAAATGGACATTATGAACCAGTCAGAACTGATCTATGATAATTCATGCTTGTTATCCTTCGTGTGCTATAACCTCGACTTAATTGTTGCTCATGTGTTATATAGGTAATGACGAGCTGGCGACCTATTTTGACCAAATTACGGTGGGTAAACTTTCAAAAGTCGATGGGACATGAGGGTTCCAATGAAAGAGCAGGTGTCAACGTACGTCGGGGTGGATGTGCTTTTCGTTTAAACAAAAAATGAATTTTTAACGATTTTGAGCTAAAAGTCCATAGGCTAACATGTTAGGCTGCTGCATGGACTCTGACGATAGGGGGCGTTGTCCAATGAGACTACTCGGAGCCACATGACGAGGCAAGTAATCGTTTGGGCACTAAATTATGAAAATGGCACTTGTTTAGTGGGCCAAATGATTTGTGTAATTTGATAGATAATCATTGATTTAATTTTGTTTAAATGAATAAATAAATTGTGTAATTAAACAAAACAATAAAACACACGAAAAACAAGATGTCCAAAATAGAGGTCATTGTTTGTTATTTGTTTATGTACTTTTCATCTTGGTGGCAGTGAATTTTCTTGCCCCCAAATTTACCCTTTTAAAGTTTATTTACCCCCCCCCCCCCCCCCCCCCCCCCCCCAAAAAAAAATCTGACCTTTGTTCCACACTTTTCAATAGTTCGGGTCGATAGGATTCTGTCTATAGTTACGCATGCGCACTGTCTGTTTTTATTCCAATATTACTGTAACGAAATCGTTATTTACATTACCTAGCCTTTAGAGGGCGTTAGTTATTGTAATTGTTTATTGTTATTGTAGATGTCGCTATGGTTACGTCGCGCACTGCGATGCGCGTACGTGGGGTTAATCTTGTGGGCAGTCTGTGTTGAGCTGCCGTAGAAGGAAGTTGTGCCTTAATTTGTTTGGAAGTTCAGATTATTAAAGTTCTTGGAAACATTACTTGATCTGTAAGTGCATATTATTTCCTGTGTTGGTAACTTAATTTAGTTAAGTGATTGTAAGCTGATCTGAGAGTGTCTGTTGCACAATATATTTTTGTGAGAACGTCGAGTACAGAGAAAGAGCGGGTTCTGACTGAAGAAGTGACGCTACCCATAGAGTGAGAGACCCGTTTTCGTTACATTGGTGGCTAGCGGTGGGATTAAAACAGACACGAGACACGGTACTCGATCAGCATACGGCAGAGCTGATTATCAAAAATAAGGTTAATCGAGCATTAGCTCGACA